AATAGTTTCCCTGGTGTGAATATTCTGCAACAATGCATAAGATTCTAATAAGATTACTGACATTTAGAAATGGGAGGAAAGGAGCTAAAGGTGTAGGGAAGGTGTGATACGTAGGGGAAGAACAAAAAGGGAAAAGAAAAAAATGTGAGAGAATGAAAAGATGAAAATAAAGTGTTTGTAGATGGGGAGGGGAGGAGGGGGTGAAGGGAGGGCAGAGGTAAGGGGAAAAAATGAGAATCAAGACTTGCCATGTAAAGGTACATGATCCCAACAATGAATGTAACTGTACTGTATCCCTAAATGTACCAATAAACTCAATAAAAAAAAATAAAATATTTCCCTTTCACTGGCATTATATAATAAAATTCATTACATATTATAGTGATCATAATAAACAATGCAGGGCCAAGAGCGTCAATAGCTGCTGGAATTCAACCAGAATGAGTTGAGTTGGAAAAGTAGCCTAAGCCATCTCTTCTAGGCAAGAACCATGGAGAAAAGCACCAGACTGCCAGCCTCTGAATGCTTGTCTCTGTTATGCAGACATGTAAAATGTCTCCCATCCAAGTACTAGCTATGCCTGACCCTGCTTAGCTTCCACGGTCAGAAGAGATCGAGCACGTTCAGGGTGGTGTGGCCATAGACAACATGTAAGATGTCTTGGTCCTTTCTAGATATTGACTTGATTATGCACACACTTTCCACCAGCATGTGAAGATCCAAGGGCTTCCCGGGAGGAGCGGATGAAGAGGGACGCGTGGAGAGTGGCTGAGGCAAAGACCGGAGGAAGGAGGAGCTTGTCAGGGGATGATTTGGGAGAGAGGATGATTAAAGGGAAGGGGAAGATGGGTCCGGGTTCTTCTGCAAGCAGAGTAGAACCTGGAAGTGTAGACGTCTAGTACTTTCTTCATGTTATCAAGTCTGTTTCAATGAAGACTTAGCTTCCCTGGGATTTTCCGGAAGGTAGGAGAGAGAACATGGTTTTCTTTGGTTATTGCTGAGGTGGGAACAAAGGATCTAGCCTGGAAACAGGCTGGACTCTGGGGGCTGCACAGAGTGATCCTGAACTGAGGGCATTTTTTGCCTTTCTATTCTTTTTTTCTAGAGCAGGGGTCATAATTATTGGACAAATGGGCCAAATGCAGCCTGTGCTCTTCACACAGCCCCTAAACTAAGAATAATTTTTTATACCGTTAGATGTTTGTAGAAAAAAAATCAAAAGAAGAATGATATTTCACGACATAAGAAAACTATATGAAATTCAATAATGTCAGTGTTCATGCATAAGTCTTGCCCATTCCACAAACTCTTTCTACTCAATTGCTTTGCCCCAGGTCTCAGTGCTCTTTATTTGGTTGCCTCTGAATTGTTTTCTGCGAGGTAACTGACAACATGACTAACACTAGGGCAGTAATCCTGTTTTGTACTTCTCTTTCTCATAGTGTACAGCATATACCAGGCAGCTCTTATGTATCAAATATTAAATAAAAAATCCCACCTGATCTTGAAAGGAGGGTCTGAGTACAAAAAGAGTCACAGATATTATACCACAGTGATGTATGCATACTCATGTTTATAGCAGTGCAATTCATAATAGCTAAATGTTGGAAACAGCTGAAACATCAATCAATAGATGAATGGATAAAGACAATGAAGCATTTACATACAATGGAGAACTACTCTGTCAAAAAGAGAAACATAAACTTGAATCATTTGTAGGCAAATGGATGTACCATGAGGAGATCATAATGTTACATGAAGTGACTCAGACACAAAACTTAAATAGCGTGTGGTTCCTTTTATATGAAAATCCGTATATGTGTGTATGTATATGCATATTATGAAATAAAAGATAATAATAAGAGAGAAGAAAGTATTATAATCCAGTGGAGACAATGTACCTCAAAGCATATCTTGACTTAGTATAACTGTTCCACATATTTTATATGTTCTTTGGCCTATTAGTCTCTGTTAAATCTGTATGTATGATAATTAACTTTGTAAGTTCTTATAAATAAATGAATCTGATGCTGGAAAAATAAAAGTGGGGGTGGAGGGAAGGAGAAAAAAAGAATTGAAATGTGTTATGTACATGCACCAATTCCCCACAGTGAATATAATCATTATGTACTGCAAACAGGGACCAATAAAAGCAAAAAACAAATACAGGCCTGAGTTTCTAAATGACAGGGACACATCCTGAGAAAGATGTTGTGGTTAGATGACACTAGCAGAATGTACTTTTGTAGCAGAAAATTGCCTGAAAACAGGAAAAACATAAAAGCACCTCATTGGGCTTTCTGGCTAATCCTGGCAGGAAAGAGAAAACACTCACTGAGAAAGCAATTGACAAGACCAGAGAAAGCTAATAAGCCAGACCCTACCCTAACCAAGTTAGCCTAGCTACCCCTTCCTACCTTCAATAAAATGTAAAAGAGGTGAGGGATGACCACTTAAAAAAGAGCTCTTATTTAGTATATAAAATATATACTCACATCTGGACACTCTCTCTCTCTCTCTCTCTGTCTCTCTCTCTCTCCCTCCCGCCCTCCTTCTCTCTCTCTCTCCCTCCCCGTCTCTCTCTCTCTCTCTCTCTCTCTCTCTCTCTCACTGTGTTTCCCTTTACTTACTTGCTAATTTGACCTTGTATGTACAGTTCTTCCTAACCAGACTTTAAGTTTCAGAGATGGGCCTAACAGGACAAAAGAAAACCAAATAAAATCTACTTAGGAATTTGCATGTAGGTGATGGTATTGGAGTTGAGGATATTGGGGTTAATCAGGTTGTGACAAGCTCTAAGGGGAAGGATCTTTTTACCCCCTAATACAAGCAGCCAAGAAAATGAGGACTCAGGTTCTTCATCTTTCTGGAGCCCTCTGCCCTCATCTAACAGGGTACCTATTCATCCTCTCCTTTTCTCCCTTTCTCAATAAAGTGTCCAATGAAGTGTTTTCCTTTCCTTAAACTTTGTCCCTCTAATTTTTTATTGGGACAGAGTTTATGACCCCAGTGAATAGCTACAGTGAATGTACAGTGGTATCTCAGTTTACAAACTTAATTTTCCATGATTCTGGTCACAAACTGAATTGGATGAGAACCGAATCAAATTCAATAGTTAGGTTCTATGTTGACCTTATGGATAAATTTGATTTGGTTCTTGTCCGGTTTGGCTTGCAACTAGAATCATGGAAAGAATTAAGTTTGTGAACCATGTTACCACTGTAATCATTATGTACTGCAAACAATGGGTAGTGAAAGTAAACCAGAAACCAAAAACAAATACGGTCCGGTCCTGAGTTTCTAAATGACACGGACACATTCTGTGAAAGGTGTTCCAGTTAGGTGACTCCAATGGAGTGTACTTTCCAAAAACGGGGGGCAGGGACATGGTGTCAGAGTGCAATGTATCTTATCAAACACCCTGGCATATGTGGTCTGTCACTGACCAAAATGTCATTATGGCAGGGGGAGCACAACTGTAGTTTATTTTGGAGGTGTCAGAAATATTACTGGGGCCCAGACCATTGTAGTAAAAACCAAAAATAGTTATTTGGTGCTAAAACATTCTGGTTTTCATGTGAAATCGGTAGTAACTGTAACGTGCAACTGACTGGCTTTTCGTCATTTTTGTGTGCTACGTGATCCAGTTCCCAACATGCACAATCACACTTCACCATCAGAGCCTGGATGTGATTCTACATTGGCTTTGTCTGTTACTGATGCTTGGTAACCTAGCTAGGGTGACAGCAAATGAGGATAGAATACAAATGCTAAAATTTCTCTGAAGATTTATTTATTCTTTCATCTCTTCATTTGATAAATATTTACTGAGTATTTCAATATGTAAAGCACCGTGCTGGTAGAGCAGTTAAATGTTAACCCTCATAGCGAAAGGTACATTCAGAAATAATGACAGATTGGTTATCAATAATGGAAAGTATTTCCTAGAATCTGCTGTTTTTTTCCATTCTACCTCAACCATTCCACCATTCCACCATCTCCCTGACTCAGCTCCTTCCTGCTCGCGTTCTGGGAAATATTCCCATCTCATGTGAATGAGGAGCTCTGTTCGAGGATAGCAGCCCTAGGTTCCCATGATAACTGCTTTAAAATTTGAACCTGAATCACTTCCAGCTGTTCTGCTTTTAATGATGACAAAGCTAGCATAAAGAGCACCTTAAACCATCATGACACATTTGCCCATTTTATAAACTTTAAGTGTTTCCATTTTCAGTTCTCAAAGAAATGAAATGCATTTGAGTGTGAAACAGCAAAATTTAAAGATCATCGTCAAATGTCACTTTAATGTATACCAAGGATCTAATAAACAACAGACGCAAATCTCACTATTTTATTTTAACAGTAGTAAATAGGAGAAGCTGTCTAGACTCCAAACTTTCTATGTTGAAATCTAATCCCCAGGGTTCTTGTATTGAGAGGTGGGACCTCAGGGAGACCACTAGGTCATGGGGATGAATGAGGTTAGTGTCCTTTTTAAAAGTGGCTCCAGGGAGTTCCCCTGCCCTTCTCTTTTCCCACCTGCCATGTGACAGACAGTGAGAAGGTACTGTCTAAGAGCAACAGGTCTCACCAGATACTGAATCTACTGGTGCCCCAATCTTCGATTTCCCAATCTCCAGATAGTGAAAGACCAATTTTCATCCTTTGTAAATTACCCAGCCTATGATATTTTGTTATAGCAGTCTGAACAGACTCACTGGAAAAGATAACTAAAAGGTAAATGAGGTAAAGGAAGGCCTTGAATAATAAATAGCTAAATAAAGCACTAAAACCAAGTTCTTACTTTAAGAGAAGGATTATGAGTTTCCTAGGGAAAATACCTTGAGAGATGAGCCTTTGGGGGTAAAACACTTGAATGGCTTCTTATCATCTGACAAACCATCTTCTGGCATCTTCTGGCGCTTCTCAGCAGCTTCTGCTCTTCGCCTCTCAATCTCTTCCTTTAGCCTCCTCTTCTCTTCCTAAGAGTGAAAGCAAAAGTAACAAGGACATCAAAATTGGCTTTTAGGAGAAGGGAAGAGAGCTGAGGGGAAAGAGACAGAGGGCAAAAGACTTGCACTATAGACTAACACCCTCAATGGTCAGGAGAGGTCCAGCTGCCTGGCTCTGTTCCCCGGCCTGGCCCTGTAACTAACATTATCATCATCATGAAACAAAAGCATGTGTAAAATATGCAGACTAATGTCAGTATGACAATTCCCTTAGCGTGATATATTATCATCACCATCCTCCAAGACCTTTAGCAATGACTTTCCACTTCTCTACGTGAACAATGAACAAAAATATTTCTTCTCCCTACTTCTCAGGAGAGTCATGAAGATAAATGAGATTGTTTATGCAAAACATAACACAAATCTATGGTACTGTGGTTGCCAAATTACACAAGAGATTATTTCATGGTTGCCTCCTACCTTTGCTGAATACACTACTTTAGATGGTTTGACAAACCTGAAATGATGGCAGTTTGTATAACAGTGGTAAAATCAAAGATGCTTACATTTACAATCCATCTCATTAACTCCACTGTTCCTAGAGTTGGAAGAGACCTTGGAATAATTTATCCAAACTTTCCGCACAGCTCAGGGAAATTGTGTATAGGAGCCATGTCAGAAAGTCGCTGAAGATCTGGATATTCCAGGGCCGGATTTAGCTCAATGGTGCTGCTGCCTGCCTTACAAGCACAATGTCCTGAGTTCTATCTCCAGTACAAAAAAAGAGAGAAAAAAATGGATGTTCTGAAGGATGGGATATCACTATCAGAAGTCTTAGGGAGTTGAAAAAGTAGGGTTCCAGCACTGCATAGTATCGGGACAGGGTCTCACTGTAGTTCAGGCTGGCCTTGAACTTATTATGTAGCCCTGGTGGGCCTATAACTCAAAGCTATCCTCTCACCTCAGCCTCCCTAGTGCCAGGATTACAGGTGAGCACCACCATGTCTGGCCCCAATACTGATTCTACCGCGTATTAGTCAAAGAATCATTGAACAAGCCACTATTTGGTGGTTCCTGGTTCTTTACTCACAAAATGAGAATGCATACCAGGATGAAAGGAAAGAATGCACTTTGTAAACTGCAATGAGTTGTAGCTGGTTAAACGTCTCTTGCTTGTGCTGAGCCAAAGTTTTCCTCCTTATAATTTATCTGTTTCTAGTTCTGTGTTAAGGACGGAGCCAATACAGGGTGTTCTGGCCCTCCTACCTCCTCCCTGGCTTTGCGGTCTGCCTCCTCCTGCTTCCTCTTCTGCTCCTCCTCCTCCAGGACCTTTCTGCGCTCCTCCCTTTTTCTCTTCAGCTCCTCTAGCTCCAGGGCCGCCTCCTGCTGCTTCTGCTTGAGCTTCTCAAACTCCTCGCTCTCGGTCTCCCCACGCCGGCGCCGCAGCTCCTCCAGCCGCCTGCCGGCCTCCACCTGAGGGGCGCCCTCTGCCTCCTTGCTGCCTCCTGTGCGGCTGGGGCTGTGGGCAGAAGGAAAGAGCTTGCATGCCACCGCCACCCCGGAGGAAGGGGCATGCTGTCTGTCTGTGCATTGGTCCATCTGTCTACAGTCTGCATCCCAGCTCCACCTACGGTGCCCACCGTTACGCCTTGGGTCCGCCCAGCAGCTGAAGGGCAGGAAGGGGTCACCCGTGTCGTTTTGCCCAGATCCCCTCTTCGTTAGATGGGGCAAGTGGGCCCTGCAAGGGGGGAGGGAACCCGTGCAGCAGCCTTGGAGAACAGTAAATAATTAAGGGGTTTAAATTATGGTATCTACAATCCAGCAAACACATCTGATATATTCCAAAGCGTTGGAAGCAGGGTCTTCAGATGGCTGTGTCCACGCGCTTATAGCAGCATTATTCACAAAGCCACCTGAGTCCAAAGTGGGACACACGGAAAAGAAAGTGGGGTGGATCCAGCCTCCCAAAAGAGGTAGATTTTGACCCATGTCACAGCCTGGATGAGTTACCTAAGTGAAATTAGCCAGTTAGAAAAAGAGAGATCCCGCATAGCTCCACTTGTATGAGAATCCAAAGTAATCAAAGTCATAGAAATAGAAAGTAGAATGTGGTTCCCTCGGGCTGGGGCTGGGGCTGTGGCTGAGGAAAGGTAGAGTGGTTGCTTAATGAGTGTAGAGTTTCAGCTGTGTAGTACGCAATGATCTTGGAGGTCTCTTGCACAACATTGAGGATATACTAACACTAGGAAGAGCGTGTTCAAATGGGAAGGGGAACAAGGGACGGGGAGAAGGCAGGGAAGGAAGGGGAAAGGATTAAAAATAAAGAGAACAGAAGGGAAACATGGAAACAAAACTTTTGTAAATGAGGAGGGGAAGAAGGGTTGAAGGGAAGGGAAAGAAAAAGAAAGATTTAAGACATCTTATGTAGAGGTACAAACTCCCTATGATGAATGTGACCATTATATATGGCAAATATATACTAATAAAAATAAATTTAAAAACATTTAAAAAAGGAATAGTTTGGGATACTCCCAGCAATAGATAAAAAGGAGAGAATATATTTAATGCTACCATCGTGTACACTTGAAAATGCTTAAGACAGTAAATGTTGTTTTTACTTTTTGCCACAAGTATTATGTAACACATACAACAGCATAGAAAAATGGGGCAAGCTCTATTTTATTTACTCCAATACTCTTTGGGCTTGTGGAATTATGTAAACATTAATTTATACATCACTTATAAATACTATAAATGTTAGAAATGAAATTATGTACATACTGTAAAAATGAATTCTAAAATTTAGGAGTGGTCTTAATAAGTTACTGGCTAACTTGGATCTACCTAGAATCATGGACCAGGAGAAGAGATAGAAAAGTTCAGGTATTAAAGACAGGAAAGGATGGTTGAATTAGGTAGGCACTGAAATAAATCCATTTATCTACTTCTTGAGCTGACTCTAGCAGCTTATCTCTGACATATAAAATTACCCATTGCTGCTAGACTGAGCTAAAAACACAGCCATATTCTCACACAGAACGTTCCTAATGACTGTGCATTCACCACTGGCTTCAGTTTGTGTGTGTGTGTGTGTGTGTACTTAACTTGTGTATTTTCTGTCCTCTCTGACCTTAATACAACTGAAACACTCCTTACGAGGACTTAAAATTACTAAATCAGTTCAGCAGTGGTGCCGTTAGAGTGGCTACTTAAATGTTACTTGTTATGCTTTATGAACATTTACACATTTATGATCACTTATGAGTCACAATAACTGGAAGGTTGGCTGTTCAGGTCTGTTATCCACATTTCATTAATTAGGGCACCATTGGTGAAGGAGAAAAAGTAATTTATCCAAACTTTTGGAAGAGAGAAAGTGGTTGACCCATGATTGGATTCTAATGTTTCTCATCAATTATACTCTTCACTATATTAAATCTGAAGTTAAATATGATTTTTAAAATGAAACGATAAATCAGTTGAAAGAGAACATGTTAGCCCACATCCTGGCCTCGCAACTCTAATTTCTTTGACAGTTTGTGAGGGACATTTCCTACCTCTAAATCTCCAGAATTATCTGCAGTCTAGGTCTAACTACCCTCCTTGCCTGAGTGGAAGCGATGCTTAGACAGCATAGCTTCTAACACAGGACAAAAAAGGGCAAGGCTTTTTATAAGCAGGAACCGAAGCTGAAGCTGTGTTGAAATTTCTCTAGCAACTATGGAGGATCCGCAGGGATTTTGCTGTAGAACTGAAAACATGTTCAGGTTAAAGACAAAATACTCTCCTGAGTCCTTGGGTTAAATTTTATTAAATTGGTGTTCCTAATGTTTTACATGGATCATATCAAAAGATGAAGAGATGTCACTGGCACCTACGGACTCTGAGCTCTGAGCTTACTAAAAATTTGCTATCACACAATACTGATCTTTTTGAAACATGTTGGCACACAAAGTGGGATGTGTGTAGAACATTTTTCACTAAGACAGAACTCATGTAAATTGGATCCTCTGGGACTAGAGGAATTAATAGTATGTTGGAGGGTCTTACTATAGTTAGTTTTTAACTGAGAAACAAGGATCTAGCATGTCTTTTATTAAATACTTATTAATAAGCAGTGAAGTGTTTTTAAACTAGTTTTCAACACAAGCAAACTGTTCCTGGTCTAGGAATAAATGAATGACCACTGTCTAATTTTGTTTATTCCATGAATAGAATGGCGTGACGATGTAGCTATGAAACATGAGAATTAATAACATAAGAAATGGATTCAAGAAGTACATTACAAAATATTGATCTTGTTTTGTATGTCTCATGCTCTCAAACACCATGTCCTCTGGGTGCAGGTTAAAACTCATTTTAGTGGACCATAATCAGCATTTTAAAAAAATGAATTGGGAAATATCAGAGTGCATTGCATAAAGAAAAAGAAAGGATTATTTCTTGACACACTGGTTTCAGTCACAAATATATATTTATACAGAATCTGCCCAAGAAATGTACACACAATTAAGGAAAAGAAAAACAGTATGTTTTTTTTTTCAGTAGATGGTGTTACCCTCATATGCAGGACCCTAGAGGATGTTGAGAATTGCAGAAAACCCACTACACTGCTGGCCCTTAGAGAAGCAATTGAAAATGCATGAGCAGCAATCTCAACAACCAAGGCTCTCCAAGCAGCAGTTTGCTGTACTAATAAATGTTTGGGAGCTCATGGCCACCATTTTGAGCACCTCTTACAATTGTAGAGGCAAAAGGTAACATGTATTAATTTCATGTCTCAATAAATTTAGTATTAAAATAGTTATACAAGTTTTTCTTATATACATTGCAGGATATATATGTATACACATTATATATATTAATATGCATATAATGTATACATACTGCAATATATATTGGGTCATGATGTAAAACTTGTTTCTTACTATGGCTTGAGGTTAAAACATAAAATATTATTCTAGGTCTTTCACAGTTAAAGATGAACTCTCATTTTGATGTCAAAGTAAGGGGCTTCTTAAAACTATATTATTCCTCTTTTAGAGACATACAGGTTCACAGAGACCCCTGTCTCAGTTAATGGAAGGCCTTTCCAACTCCAGAAATGAGTGTGCTCTCTGCTTTTCATGTTGCTGGGCAGGAACTGGACCAGCAGACATGCCTGTAAGAATTTCTTTGGATTCCACTAGGTGTCGCTCAACATTTGTTTTGGACAATTAAATGGTTCATCATTAGAGGCTGGTTAAATAAGTCAGAATTTCTGGGTGGCACATGCCTGTAATCGCAACACTCAGAGGCTGAGGCAGGAGGATTGCCTCGAGTTTGAGGCCAGCCTGGACTACGTAGTGAATTCAAGGCCAGCCCGAATTACATAGTAAGACTCTGTCTCAAAAAAACCAAACCAAACCAAATCACCCCACCCACAAAAGAAACAAAAAATCCAGCTAATGGGATACCCTGACATCATTAATTATAAGCTTATAGTTTAGGTATAGAAGGCTCATTGTTTTATATTGTTATGTATGGTGCAAGTATCAATAAATATATACATTTACATTCACACACATATATCTTGAATATTATATACATAGAAAAATGTTAGTGATAATGAGGGAAAAAACTTTCTCACCTTAGAAAATAAAAAAATCCTTGTTTTATACTTTCTACAAATCTTTATTATAACCTCCTATCTCCATAACTTGCTCATCAAATTGAGATTTCTTTTTCATGTTTTAGAGAAAACAGTCTAGTTACTAGAAAATGAGAATATTAAAGAGGCAGTAGTTAAATCAAATGTAAGGAGCTATGCTCAAAGAGGAGCAAGACTCCACCTACATGTGCTGGCAGCAGCTTTTGGGAGCCACTTTTCTGAAAAGTTCTTCTAGAAAGTCTGTTTCCTGTCTAAGCTTCAGTGGATTGAAGTCAAGACAACTATCACATCTTTGGCTGTTAAAAGCACAGCTTGCTTTTAGTTAAGCAAGTAGGTACCAAGTTTATCTAAATGGAGGCTTTTTCTCCCTCATGTCTGTCTCATTTTGTAAGTGTATGGAGCAAACCCAGTTTTCTCTGTTCCTGTCAGCATCAAAATTCTAACTGAAACCAAAACTCACAGATGTTGGCAGTTAAACAAAAATAAACAATAATACAGTGGCAGCTTGTTCCTGTATTTCTTTTCTGTCCAATATGGCATAATTAAAGAGAGTCATATTTTAAGAGTTCTTACTGCTCAACCTGTGTCTGTAGACTCTGTGACTTTTCTTTGTTTGAATTACCCAGCTCTTTGCATTTATACACAATAACCATGCTACTTATTAATTAGAGCTTTGACTGAAGCTCTTGGCAAGGTTGCTAATGGTTAACCAAATTTCTTTCTAGGGGCAGGGTTTTTAAGAAAGCGTTCTTTCTCTTAATAATAAAAAGAAATCCAACTGGTTCCTTAAAAACCCCTTCTATCTTGAAAACATATCTTACACCACCAAGCAATAACACTCTAATATTAGATAATAATCACTGAGCATTTTTCATGATACTGTGTGAGGTTTTAAAATGATAAAGCTTTGGCTTCAGCTTCCCAGTCTGAATCAGTTTGCTTTGTTGATTTTCTATGAATTTCTAATCACTTTTAATTTTCACATAAACTTTCTCACCAGTTCCAACTAATGTCTAGGGATCTTTCTTATTCCTAAACAGTTACAGTTAAGCCTCTTTTGCATACTTTTCTTTTGTGTGATTTCAGCTTGTAAATGGGACTAGGTTTCTGCTTAGATTTTTATATAAAAAAAATGTTTTGGGGCAACTCTGTTTACCCATCTAAGATGGACCTGAAATGTTTATGTAATTTTTTCTGAATGTTACAATACTTTGGTGTCAGAAGCATGTCAAACTTATACATATTGTCTGCTTGATGACTTTCTTTTTTGAAGTGTTCAGAAAACTAGGTCTACAGGTGAGGCAGCTGCCAAAGAACCACCTCATGGAAATACACAGTGCAGAGACCCAAAACTCTTTCCCAGCACACCCGGTACAGCAGTTGGACATAAAGTTGGGATTTGGCTCCAGTGGCTGGAGAGGGTGTGTGTAGCGGGTAGGGCAAATGTCATACAGTCCACTACCTGTAGCAGACTTCTGAACCTTGAGTCTGCCTAGAAAGCTGATAGCCAGGTCTAAGTTCAACTGTATCTGAAAGTGATTTTGTCTGCTTATACTGTAGTGTGTCCTACAAGCAACTGCCCAGAATTTCAGTGTTAGAGAAGAGGGATGAGAAGCTCGAGCCCTATCAAGAGTCCCCTGAATTGTGTGAAATGGAACAGTAGTTCCATATCCTCTTACTACTTCTCAGATATTCCCACAGTATAGGAATATTAAGATCTATCAAAGTCCCATGGTAAAAAGGTATGGCTTAGTTTCATCTACTGTTTCTTAAGTATACAGTCATGAACAATCTGAGCTTTATGCAACTTTTATTTACAACCATTAAAATTTAATGAATTCTTAAGAATGGTACTGAGAATGGTTTCATGAAGTTGGCTGGACCATACAGAGAATGAACCAATAATATTAATCCCAATCATGCAAAATTTTAATAAACTAACCATATTAGGAGTTTCATCTACTGTTTCTTAAGTATACAGTCATGAACAATCTGAGCTTTATGCAACTTTTATTTACAACCATTAAAATTTAATGAATTCTTAAGAATGGTACTGAGAATGGTTTCATGAAGTTGGCTACACCATACAGAGAATGAACCAATAATATTAATCCCAATCATGCAAAATTTTAATAAACTAACCATATTAGGTCAATGAACAAGAAGGTGGACATTACCAGGATCTGCACTGAAAAAAAAAAAAAAAAGAAAGATAGGAAAAGCAGATTAAGCCCTGGTTGAGCAATGACTGCTGGTCTCCTTCGTGAGAGCAGCACTTGAATCTGCTGACTGCGTATCTCTAAGACAATGGCCAGTGATCTCCCAACAGAAGAATGTTGCCTGTCGAGCACGCTCCTGTGTGGAGGCACAGGATGGGAGGCTGATTTTCTCTCCCCACAGGAACGCAGTCACTATTAAATGGTCACGGCTACTTACCTAAAAGCATTCTCTGTGTGTTTAAGTTTGTGGGTCATGAATTCTCCATTCTGTGACTTCACTTCTGTAAATCCCTTCTTTCGATCCAAGAAGCTCTTAACTTCTTCTTTGGCCTCCTTGTCCTTTTTAATCTTCTCATCTTTGATCTAACCAGTTCACACCAGGAAGAAACATAATGATAAAAATATTATGAGATTTAAGTTGATACCACCAAATAAGGCCCAAAAATTTTAAGAAGTCAGAAAACTCAAAAGTAGAACCACCTACACCCTGAATGGTAGAGGTGGGGTCAGAGGAAATTCTTAAAGTAAAAAAGGATCATTTGGCTTTTGAACAAAGACCTTGATTATCATTTTGGTAAGTCATGACCATCCCTGTTCTCACTGGGGTTTTTGTTTTGGAGAGCAGTGGGAGTGTAATGATTTGGAAATGATGAAGTTCTGGGAACTCCATGTAAGAAGGTCTGTTTGCTGTTATTTGTATGGCTCTGATGGAAGAATGGCCAACTAGCTTGGCCAGTTTCTTCTTGGATGGAGAGTGAATCTCTGAGAGACACAGTGAGGAGAGAAGGAGGAAGCCTACCAGATTTATCAGACCTGTCAGGCCAATTCTAAAGATCATCCTGGAATTTTAACCAAATTAGTAATGGGTCCCAAGAATGGGACACATAACCTACCTTGGGTGGGGATCTCAGAGACCCATGAGAACATGTTTGTGGTCATCTAAGCTACTAAAGTTAGAATGGAATAGGAACAACTCCATTGCTTTCCACTGCTGGAAAATTTTAGTCTTCTGGAAGTGGTTTTGTGATTGAGGGGGGACAGAGGAAGATGACAATGGAAGGTAGGAGTTAGCTTTAATATTTTACAGGTTTTGTGTTACAAATTCCTTACAGTAAATGAGACAGATTATGTTAAAGTAAATTGAATTTACACAGCTTGGGGAGGGGGTAAGGTTAAGGAGTTTAGATGACTCCAACTTCATCTTCTCTCCCAGTTAAAAAAAAATGAACATGAAAACAGGCGAGGTTTATTATTATTCTTTCAAGAAACAGTTATGAAGCCCTAGTGCTCTAAAGAAATCCAGGGAGGAAGGGTAGGTGGTAAGAACTTTGGATTTAAGGGTTCACCCAGGACCTTTTCCCTTACCCGACTATGTACCCCAAACAGCCATTCTTCAACACTCTCTGAAGCTTTATTCCTAAAGGGCATGTTTTGCAAAGCATGGCACATTTTTTTTTTCTCCTTTACTGATGAGCCTTCAACAATTTATCTGATTATTTCTTTGGGGTGTTATATATTAAATCACTATGGATGGATTACTTGCTGCGATGTTGGCCTAACAGGTTAAAACTTCTCTTTCTCCAAGAGGGTTATAGGAGGATGCCCTTCGCAACACTGAAGAGGGGAGCTAGTGTGTCATTATTCTCTCTGGGAGATTTGTAAGTCAGGAGACCTGGGTTTGGGTTCCAGCTGTCAACAATCTAACTGTATCACTGGAGCAAGTCAGTGGATTCTCTGTGATGCTGGTTCCAGCCACGTATGTGAAAAGATAGGGTTGGACGTGATGACCTTTTCCTAATCTTTCTTCCAGCCATTTCCCACTTGGCTCCTGATTGATGATAAGAGTCAACAGCAGTGGGAAGGAAGCTCAGGCCCTGTACTGGAACTTGATCGTGGCTGCTTGGTGGCTGTCTTTGTCCAGGAGTAAGTCGGAATACATTGAACAGGCAGGGGAGGAGAACGTATTCTCATATTAGCTTGCCATTATTGAGTAGAGTCCTGCAACTATGGACTAGAGTTTTTACCTTGGGCAAGAATTATCTGGAGATACAAATCTAGAGGAGAGGTGGAATTTCAGGAATTGCACTGATACAGATACTGAGTTAAATCTCATGGTTTGTGGAGCCAGAAAACTATGCATAGGGAAATTCCTTTGAACTCATCTCTCATATTTTGCAGTTGAAGTATTTCCATTCTCCCAAAATATATCACCTGATTTACTGGCAAAAACAAAACAAAAACAAAAACCACCACCAAAAACAAAACAAAACAAACCCTAAAAACTGTTTAAAATAGATTTATAAAATAATAGATGTCTAACAGAAGAAAGAAAAATTTCTGCATTTTTTGGCAAAGTTTATGGTGGCTGATATACTTTTATTCTCTGTGAAAAATTTTCTTAGAAACACTAAATATAATGTAACTGACTAAATATTATTGTCTCCTTGAGAAGTGAATGAATAAAGCAATTCTATAGAGCTCATATTTTAAGGAGCATTGTGGATTGGATTCTCTGGCAGGTTCAACTGAGCAAATGGGATTCTGAGATCTTCTAGGCTGGAATGTAGGGAAAAGAATGAGATCTTCTAGTCTGGAATGTAAAGAATCTGCGCCGAAGGGTTCCTAGATAACCAAGTGTTTTAAAGGAGTTAATGTGCTTCATACATATTTAATATTAGTGTACTCATAAGGAAGGCTCTAGCCAATTGTGATCATTTGGACAGAACTGGTTATTTGGAGTATCCAATATAATAAAACCTGGGCATGCAGGATGTGGGAATTTAAGAGGCTCTAATGCCGGAGAGACCCACAAATGGTCAAGGGAACAACTGGAAAAGAACTGAGATCTGAGTCTCTGTAGAGCAGTGCTTTGCCATTATTCAATTTTTGAATAGCGACAACAGCCAGGCATAAATTACACCTCCTCAGACCAGGCTTAGCACGCTTTGCTTAGCTTTAGAAGTCCCAAGACCTGCTGGGTGTGATGGCGCATGCCTGTAATCCCAGCACTTGGAAGGGCGAGGCAGGAGGATCCATGCAAGTTTACCACCTGGACTACACAGACAGTTCAAGCCTAGCCTGAACTATATAGCCAGATCCTGTCTCAAAAAACAAAACCAAACAAAAAGTAGACATCCAAAAAAAGTCCCAAGTCCTTTCCTGGGTCTCTTTCCTATCAAAAGGATATCTTCTAAGGGCCGGGGATTTAGCACAAGGTCCTGAGTTTGATCCTTGGTTAAAACAAAACAAAACAAAAACAAAAATGATATCTTCTAGACTCCTTGCTATGGAAGGTTACATCCTGGGATAACATGAACCTCCCAAGGAAGCTCATTTTCTACCCCAGAGCCACTGAATCAATTCTGCATTTAACATGATTCTTGGGGGATTTGCCCCACACTGAAGTGTGGGAAATGTGGGACCAGATTACATGAACAACAGGGTCACTATCGTTGAGCAACTCTTCTAGCAAATTTACTTTTCTACTAGAGGCCAGGACTGGGGAAAAAAGCTCCGTGGATGAAGAACTAAACAGAGGTATTTATAGTTGAAGAGGAGAGAAAGAAGGCTAAATTAAGTCTCGAGGTTGGTGATCATCTATGCCCTATCACTGCCACAGAGTTAAACTGCAGTGGAGAAGGACAAGGCTTTTTTTGTTTATTTGCTTATCTTTTAAGGCACTGGAGGGCCTTTTGGAGATGTTTTCTCTAAGAAGGCTCACACGATATTTATGTTTACTTGTGGCTGATCTGCTTATTCTGCACCAGCCCTTGCAAGGAAGGTTTTAGCTTGTTTTTGTGTGACTCTTA